ACAACGTAGGTATAATTATTACTCCCAACTTACAGATGTTAAGTAACTTATCCATGTCATTCCAGTAGTACTCAAAAATGAATTCAGGTAGTTTGACCACATGCTAGACAGAAGTTGCTAAGAACTGTTTCAGCAATCTTGGACACATATTTAATGACTGGCTATTGGTGTGGTACCACACGATCATTCGAACACTCAAGCTTGTTTCTGTTGAATCAGGTCAGAGAAAGTAAAGCCTAAAAAGTCCCCAAACAGTTAAGACACACAGAGGCTAGAATTGTCATATGGTATACACACTCCAGTGACAAGAAATTCCAAGGGCTCAAACAGAAGACTCTCAGAGTAGCTCAGCATGGTTTGTAATAAACAGAAACACTATGAGGAAGTGTTCTTCACACTACACTCAGAGGTTTCCCCTCCCACTTACACGTGACTGTTGCCATCTCAGACTTTTCATATTAAGTTGTTTCATTTTTGAGATGGAGTCTTGCTCTGTTGGCCAGGCTGGAGTGCAGTGGTGCAATCTCAGCTCACTGTGGCCTCTGCCTCCCAGGTTCAAGCCATTCTCCTGCCTCAGCCTCTTGAGTAGCTTGGACTACAGGCACGCCCCACCACACCCAGCTAATTTTATATTTTCACTAGGTACTGGGTTTTGCCATGTTGGCCAGGCTGGTCACGAACTCCTGACCTCAAGTGATCCGCCCACCTCGGAGGCGCAAAGTGCTGGGATAACCAATACTGCGTCCATCTCAGAGACAGCCTCATCTCCTTCTAGAGTTCATCTGAGAGTTTGTTCAGATGAATCAATATGATTCCTATTTTTTTAAATATTTTTTTAGAGACAGGGTCTTGCTATGTATCTCAGGCTGATCTTGAACTCTTGGCCTCAAGCAAATTCTCTTGCCTCAGCCTTCTGAGTAGCTGTATTTTTATTGATAAAGTATAAATTTATTTATATACAGTACTGACAGCTATTCTGCCTCAGCCTGAAAAAGGACCCCCAAAAAATCACAAAAGCACTTTAAAATGCTATCAAGATGCAATATTAACTAATTTATATATTTTCATTTTGCAGATACTCCAATGGTAAATAGATCATACTTTCTCCTCAAATACTTAAATACATGTTCCTCAAAATGTGGTGGTACCACCAGTATCAAAATCACGGGGCACTTGTTAAAAATGCAGGCACATGGAGTCATCACCAAATCAATAGAACCAGTCTCTAAATAAACTCCCAAGTGAGCATTTTAATAAGCTCTCTAGTGATACTTTCTTACTCAAAACTTATTTATTGAACAGTCTACAACAGGCGTTCCCAAACTTTTTACACAGGGGGCCTGTTCACTGTCCCTCAGACCGCTGGAGGGCGGCCACATACTGTGCTCCTCTCACTGACCACCAATGAAAGAGGTGCCCCTTCCTGAAGTGCGGCGGGGGGCCGGATAAATGGCCTCAGGGGGCCGCATGCGGCCCGTGGGCCGCAGTTGGGGGATGCCTGGCCTACAATATCCTAGTGCAAAATGAGACAGGTAAGCAGACAAAAATAAACATTTTGGATTTCAGCTGTGCTACAAAGAAAAAAAGATGTTTCAGAGAACGACCTGGAGGACTACTTTAAAATGAGAAGTCAAAGTCTTTCTGAGGAGACATCTAAAGTGAGGAGCCGTTCATTCAAGACAGTGGTTCTCAAAAATTAAGCGTGTATCAGAATCACCTAGAGAACTTGTTAAATGAGACTACTGGTCAGAAGGTCTGGAATGGGGCCCAAGAATCTGTATTCCTAACAAGGTCACAGATGATGCTGATGCTGCTGGTCCAGGAACCACACTCTGAGAGCTGCTGATCTAGAGAGAACACCAAGAGAGTGTGAATAAATGTATTAAGAGAAACAGGGGAAAGGTCAGTTAGAAAAGAGGGCATGATACTCATGACTGTTTCAAAATCACTTGAAAAAGATGGTGAATTAAAACCAATAGCTATGATCTCCAGAGCAGAGAAGATAAAATCTGAGGCTGATCAATAATATCCTGTATTGTTGAAGCATTTCTCAGTTACAAAGCGTTTTTACATTTATTATTTACCTTAGTGAGATATAAGTAAATAACTACTAGCTACATTTTAGAGGTAACCCGAGGGACAAAAACAGTATGAACTTCCTTTAAAGTAAAACAGTTAAGGAGTTGAACTATTTCCTCTAACACCCAATCTAATAGTGTTCTTTCCAGCACAGCTTGATCTTTTTGAAGAGCAAAGCAAAGGGTACATATAGGAGTTAATATTGACAAATTATTTTCTAGACTATCTAAAAACAAGGTGGATGGCTTGGCACAGTGGTTCACCTCTATAACCCCAGCACTTTGGGAAGCTGAGGCACGCAGATCATTTGAAGCCAGGAGTTCGAGACCAGTCTGGTCAATATGGCAAAACCTCATCTCTACTAAAAATTAGCCACAAGGGTGGCGTGCACCTGTAATCTCAGTTACTCAGGTGACTGAGGCAGAAGAACTGCTTGAACCTGGGAGGCAGAACTCTGGCCTGGGCGACAAAGTGACTGTCTCAAAATAAAATTTTTAATAAAAAACATGGTGGATTCCAGACTCAATTTGTTTTAGATATTGGTTAGAAAGCACTATTATTTAAAACTGACAGCATTTAAGTTAGTCCCTTCCACTTCCTCCTCCTTCAAAATGAAAGGATAAAGAAATGAAGAGGAGATTTACATATTATTCTCTCTCCTACATAAATTTCAGGTAACTAGTTTCATAACCTTAGTCCCTCAGCAACATCACTCAAATATAATCTGCATCTTTGGGTTCCCTTTAAATCTCTCACCTAACCCAGGTTCCCACAAGAACACTGAATCCTATGTGTCTTACTATACTCATGGGTACACAGACCAGGAGCAGTTATTCTCTAAACACATATTAACACTTGGTAGCTTCTCCAACAACCAAAACCTTATTCTTAGTATTCTTACCTGCATGTTCCAATAATGCTACAAACCCAAAATATCCCAAACTGAAATCATTTTATCCTCCCTCCAGCCCAGCCCTCACCCTCACCCTAGCCCTCACCCCAGCCCTGCTTCTGGGTCTGAATATGTATTAATAGCATTGCCATCCACCAAACAAAAAGATGTGGAATTCTACAACTTTGTCTCCCTCACACCAATCTCAATACACTCCCCTCACCTCCATTCCCATGGCCACTTACTATTAGTTACTATTAATAATACACTACCATTTCATTAGTAACTACCAAGTACTAATCACTTTACGCATTTTATCTTACTTCATTCTCTCAATAACCCTATGAGGTTACGTACTTTTTTCCCATTTCACAAATGAGAAAACTGAGGCTAAGAAAAGGTCATCTGTCCAAGTCATAAGCAGGAGAAGGCAAAGTAGATTTCCAAACCCTACAGTTCCCCCAAACCAAAATGCTTCATTCTGTCATACCTGTGCTATCATTCCTTTAATACCCATTCCAAATGATAATTTCTTACCTAGATAACTGCCAGGATTCTCCTAACTGGTCTCCCTGTCTCCAGCCTTGTTTTCCCTCATCCCTCAAGTGCCCTAAATCAATCTGGATCAGAAATCTGATCCTTTTATCACCTTGGCATAAAAGTGTTCCAGAAACATCCTTTAGTCCACAATGTCCAGGATATACTCTACAGGATGAATTCCAAGCCCTTTAGTACAGATCCACAATCCCTTACCTACAGGTCTGAAATTCAAAAGCTTCGAAATTTTAATTTTTTTCCTAAATCTGCAACGGAACCCACTGTGAATGATGGGAGGCTATTTAGTCTCTTTATCCCATTAGTGTGATATTCATGTGTGTCAATGCAGAACATTATCGTGTTTGATAAAAAGTTAACTCAGACCCTGATAAAGTCTTACCTAAGAGACCTTGCCAATAAAAAGAAAAATCCCAAAATATTCTGAAGTCCAAAATACATCTGGATCCCAAGAGTTTGACAAAAGAGATTGTGAAACCCTTATCAATTCAGTCCATCAATCCAATCTAATTTCCACCAATCACCTTACACATTCTTTAGTTCCAGGGATGAAGAAGGGTGCCCTGGGCCCTGAATACCCTCCAACCCAGTGGTACTCTTCAAGAAACCGGCTCACGGATTTTCTTTCTTGTGAAGTTTCCCTGACCTTTCCTCTATTGTGCCACAGCCACTGTACTGAATACCCACCTCCACTGCTGCAAGTTATATATGTTTCCCCTGCTCGACTGTGAATGAAGTCTTCGTTGAGTACTTTATTCAATCCTAGCACAATGCCCCAACACTAGGGGCTCATGAACGTACAATGAACTAAAATTCATGCCCAGCTTTCCCTAACTCAATTTCCTTCTAAGTTAATTTCTCCTTCATTCCCAAACCTTAGAATTTTCCCTAACCATGCAGTCCACTTTCTAAGTTTCTCCTTCCCAATGTCATCTTACAATTTTCTCACAGGCGCCTTCTCTGTACCCCAAGCTCTCCAACATCTTTTAACCACCTCCATTTAATCCACAGTCCTCCTTTCTCCTGTCTGCGAACAGGCCAAGTCCCCTCCCTCCAAAGCAATCCATCTTTACTGCCCTTACCTCTTACCTACTCCCTCAACACCTCTCTGGCCAGGGCGCTTCCAGCCAAAACGCTTCTCACAACGTGTTTCCCAAATCCCCCTTCTCTCACTGTGCGGGTCTACCAGCTCCAGAACCAGTGCTCGGCTGGGTTCCGCACATCACAAACCTTCCTCGCAGCCAGTGTCCCCTCCCCCAGCCTCTTGCAGCCGGCACCCCTCCCTTCATGCTCCCCTTATCTCCTGCGGTCCAGCTTCTCTGGAAAGTGTCCCAGGGGCGAGTCTTTCACCTCAGAGACCCCCCGAGATCGCAGCTGTCTGAGCAGCCCCAGGACCCAGCACCTCCGTCCCCAGCTCCTGTAGGGTTGCGCAAATCCCGTGCGGCCCAGACGCGGAGCAGGGCCTCTGGCTCACCTTGCTGGATGTCGCCGTTGCTACCCCCCGGGATGGGCACGCTGAGCTGGCGCTCCGGCTCCGGCAGGCAGCGCAGGCAGAAGGAGTGAAGACAGGGCAGCAGCTTGGGCTCCGCCTCACGCCGGCTCTGCAAGCTCTGCTGACACACGGCGCAGGTGTCCAGGAGCGAGGCTGGCGGTCCAGAAGGCGGCCCTGCGGAGGGACCCGGAGCGGGAGCCGAAGCTGGAGCTGGAGCCGGCGTCGATACCGCGCCCCCGGGAACTCCGGGGGCCACTGAGGCCGCAGGGGATGAAGCAGCCTGGGCCGAGCCCGAGGAGGCCGCGGCCACCCCCCCGTCGTCGGGCCCGGCCGCGCCGCCCTCCGCGCCGGCCCTGCCGCCTTCCTCCTCCTCCTCCTCCACCAGCACCGCGGCGAGAGGCGGCTCCGCCTCCTGCGCCGCGGGCCCGGCGGTCCCGGCAGTTACCGGCGCACTGCCGCTGCCCCCGCCGCCGCTCTCAGCCTCGCCGCCGCCTTTGTTTTCCGCCATGTTTTCCTCTTTGAACCCGCCGGACCGCCCCGCGCCGCCCGCCGCCCGCGTCGCCGCCGCCGCCCCCAGCCCCAGCCGCAGCCGCAGCAAGAGCGGCAGCCGAGAGCGAGCGAGAGAGCGAAGCAACGAGAGCGCGCGCGCACACGGCGCCCCCGCCCTCGCGTCGCGCGTTTGAAGGAGGGCGGGTGCGGCACGCGCACGTACGCACGGACGTCGTCCCGAGGGAGGCGGGAACTCGGGGCGCGGGCGCGGAGGGGTCCCGGGCCGGAGCCAGTTCGTTGCGTCAGTATCGCGGCTCTTTAGCTGGAAAGGAGGTTTCAAAGCCGGAGGCTGTTGACGCTGGGTAGCTTTTGGCTGGGGTTGGTTATGAGCTCCTACACAGCAGGGTTGCACGCAGAAGGGTAGGAACCGCACCGGTTCCGTCCCCATCGAGCGTGTATCGGGCGTCTCCGCCGCGCGCTGGGGCGCCGGGGCCTCCTGGGTCTCTGCTGTGCATAGACCAGCTGCGTTCCTTCGGGTACCCGTGGAGCAGTAAAGCGGGGCTTTGTATTTTGTTGTTGTTGTTGTTGGGGTTTTTTTTGCTTTTTATTTTTGAACTGAGGATCTACCAGAAATAGGCTGAAAAGACCGATTGAGGAAGAAACTCTTAACAGCTATTTTTATCTTCTTAATGTGATTCTCAAGAGTTGCTACTATCAGAATAAACGGAGGAGTTTTTCAAAGCAGAGATAGATGCCAGGGCCAGTCCCCAGAGCTGAATCAGGAAGTGAAGGAGAGGGTTGAGAGAGGGAGGAAAAGTTCCTTCAGCTCGTTTTAATGTATGTCAGTTTGGAGAGCCACGGGTATAACCAATACTGCGTCCTTCTGAGGTCCCACTTTAAGTGTCCTGGGTTGAGCTGGGTATCAGATGCCCTAACAACAGCGGTAATCGAAGGTTTCAGGTTGGGGGCTGTAGCTTACGACTGTTATCCCAGCACTTTCAGCCTCCGAGGCGGGCAGATCACCTGAGGTCAGGAGTTCGTGACTAGCTTGGCCAACATGGCAAAACCCAGTGTCTACTAAAAATACACAAATTAGCCAGGTGTTGTGCGGCGTGCCTGTAATCGGAGCTACTTAGGAGGCTGAGGCAGAAGAATGGCTTGAACCCGGGAGGCAGAGGCCCCAGTGGGCTGAGGTTGCCCCACTGCACTTCAGCCTGGGCAACAGAGCCAAACTCCCTCTCAAAAAAAAAAAAAAAAAAAAAGCAGCTTTCAGAGTGTTGCCTTTTTATTTAAAAAAAAAAAAAAAAAAAAATTGGGGTGATTTTATGTAGTGCAACAACTGTTTTAGTGTTAAGATCATAAAATGCTTTGGTCTCCTGTTAGTGTTCCCAAAAAAGTGTTATTTGTGAGGTGCTGTAAGTCCTTAAACCATGTGAAAACGTACTATTATTTTTTTTTAGACCACCTCGCCCTGTTGCCCTGGCTGGAGTGCAGTGGGGCAATCACATTTCACTGCAGCTTCAACCTCCCAGTCTTAGGCCATGCTCCTCTCGAGTAGCTGGGACCGTAGGTGTGCGCCACCACACCCATCTAATTTTTTTTTCACCCTTGCCTTGAAGAGCCTGGGCTCTCACTATACTGCCCAGGCTGGAACTCCTGGGCCCGAGCGATTGGCCCGCCTCAGCCGCTGGAAGTGCTGGGATTACAGGCATGAGCCACCGCGCCCAGCCTCCTGAAAACTTTTTTAAAATTTATTCAAAAATATTTTCTGGGCCGGGCGCGGTGGCTCACGCCTGTAATCCCAGCACTTTGGAAGGCCGAGGCGGGTGGATCACGAGGTCAAGAGATCGAGACCATCCTGGTCAACATGGTGAAACCCTGTCTCTACCAAAAATACAAAAAAATTAGCTGGGCATGGTGGCGCGTGCCTGTAATCCCAGCTACTCAGGAGGCTGAGGCAGGAGAATTGCCTGAACCCAGGAGGCGGAGGTTGCGGTGAGCCGAGATCGCAGCCATTGCACTCCAGCCTGGGTAACAAGAGCGAAACTCCGTCTCAAAAAATATATATATATAATATAATATATATATATATATATATATATATATATTTTTTTTTTTTTTTCTGACCTCTTTATTGTCATAGTGTTTTAGATACATGCTGGGATTACAAAACAGGAGCTCCATGCATTCAAGGAGTTTACGGTCCGATAGAGAAAGATTGAGGACAAATAAATGCCAAGGAGTGGTAAGTTCTGTGAAGAAAAAATAAGCGGGGTAAAAGCTGTAATCGAGCTACTTTTGAATTAGAGGTGATTAAGAAGGCCACTGTTGATCAGATGAAGGAACCTGTCTTGGAGAAGAGCAGGTAGAGGAACACATGGCAAGTGCAAAGGGCCTGAGCGAAATAGATGCTTGGCTTGTTAGAGGAAGAGTCAGTGTGGCTCCAGTGGCTTGAGCAATAGTAGCACATGAGATAAGAGGGTTATGAAGGGGGCCAGGTCATGTACAGAAATGGTCTTCAATTTTTTTTTTTTTTTACTTTTTTGCCCTTTAAAATAATTTTAGAAAACTGTTTTCTTCCTTCAAACATTGTAAGTTGACTAAATTTTTTCGGAAGTTTAAATAGTTGCAAAGTGTAATTTGTGACATACTGTAATACTGACATTTAAAAATTGTTATTTTAAATCTAATAGGAAACACTAATGTGGCTTAATACTATCCATTTTTAAAAGTATATTAAGGCTGGGCACGGTGACTCATGCCTGTAATCTAAGCACTCTGGGAGGCCGAGGCAGGTGGATCACCTGAGGTCAGGAGTTCGAGACCAGCCTGATCAACATGAAGAAACCCTGTCTCCTACTAAAAATACAAAAAAATTATCTGGGTGTGGTGGTGCATGCCTGTAATTGTAGCTGCTCGCGAGGTGAGGTAGGAGAATCGCTTGAACCTGGGAGGTGGGGGGTTTCAGTGAGCTGAGATCGTGCCATTGCACTCCAGCCCGGGCAACAAAAGCGAAACTGGGTCTCAAAAATAAATAAATAAAAGTATTTTAAAATGTTGTCTTTTGTTAAACATGAAAAAGCATTGGGAATGTCTTAATGAGATGGCTAGGAGTCTTTCCCCATCTCCCAATTAGTTTGAGTAGACATGAATGCATATAACGCTAGAATAAGACAAGGCCCTGTGTCAACTCCATTTTTCACTGTTACAGACTGAACTACTGCATTATAAACTATATATATATATACGTATACATGTGTGTATCTACACACTCACATATATGATGGATTAATCCCCTTAAAACTAACCTTACTTATTTACCCCTTGGAAAATTTTCCTTCACTGAAGTACCCAGGAGTACTCATACCCTAACCTTAGCACCACTGAGTCAGACAGGAAGTCTTGGATGGGTTTTGAGCAAAGACAGCAGAATTGTGAAGAGTCACTGTAGCTACTTCCTAGAGGAATAACCTGTAGAGGGTCAGTGGAATAAGGAAGACCACTTTAAGGGGGTTAATAGGGTAATAACTCGGTTGGTTGGACCAGGTTGGAATCTGTAAAGGTGGTGAAAAATACGGAGTTTAAATCATAAACACTTTTCTTCAAATTCACTAATCAACTGAATTTCTCAATGAAAAGTTTTACTTTCATGAGTTTTTTTTTTCCTTAACCTTTTGATGCCTGCTACTGCTTGCGTTTATTAAAATCTGGAATAAAATTGTTTTTTGAAAACTAGGTAATTTTTATAGGAAGGAGCAGCCCCCACAAAGTTCACTATGTGCTCTGAGAAGATAGTACCTGGAGTATAAGTCATGGAATATTTAAGATCATTGAAACAGACACAGCTACATCCTTGATTTTCTGTGGAGGCTCAGAAATCTTGCAGGAGAAACTGTAAGTCCACAGATGAGGCTGAGATATGATATTGCACAACGCTGTCTAATAGACTGCATACCATGGGGTTCAGTATGCCCTGGAACAAAATGCTTGGATTGAATCTGGTTCCACCACCTACTAGCTATGTGAGTTAAGGGAACTTACTTAGCTTGCCTCAGTTTCCTCAGTCATAAAAGGGTGTTTGCTACTGGTAGGACCTACTTCAAGGTTGTCTCACAAACAATATTTGTAAAATGTTAATAACAGCACTCAGCACATGGTAAACATGATTGTTAAAGTAGACCCAAAAATCCCTGAAGAAAACAGAACCGGCAGGAAAAACACATGCCACTGAGAGAAAATTTCAAGAAGAGGAATTATGCTGTGGCCTGAACTGAGCAGCATAATTGCTGAGGTAGAGGCTGTGTCCAGCCATTTTCCTGACCTAGGCTACTATCCCTTGTTCCTCCGGTCTGAGCATCATCAGAAAAACACAGTTCTGAAATAAAGGAAAGAGGTCTTCGTAGGTTCATAGCAATTCTGCTATGAAGAAAACTCCTCTAAGTTGCTGGTAAACAATAGTGGAAGGAGTTTTCCAGTTTTCCAGAAAAGAGAAAGGGCATTGGAGGTGAGTCTTAGTCTGTCTTAGTCTGTCACCCAGGTAGGTAAGCAATGGCGAGTACATGGTGTGTCCATTGGCTGGGCACAGGAGGTTGGCAAAAGCAAGACAGTAGCCCAAGGGTAGAGTGAAGTTTTGCAAAGGCTGTTCTGCGCCTTCTGGACAGAGCAGCCATGCTGAACAGCAGGAACAGAAGAGTACACGAGAACCAGCAAAAGGATGCTGAGCTGCAGTTGAAATCTAGGACATTTCTGTAAATGTACACTACTCGCGGTCGGGCGCGGTGGCTCAAGCCTGTAATCCCAGCACTTTGGGAGGCCGAGGCGGGCGGATCACAAGGTCAAGAGATCGAGACCATCCTGGTCAACATGGTGAAAGCCCGTCTCTACTAAAAATACAAAAAAATTAGCTGGGCATGGTGGCGTGTGCCTGTAATCCCAGCTACTCAGGAGGCTGAGGCAGGAGAATTGCCTGAATCCAGGAGGCGGAGGTTGCGGTGAGCCGAGATCGCGCCATCGCACTCCAGCCTGGGTAACAAGAGCGAAACTCCATCTCAAAAAAAAAAAAAAAAAAAAAATGTGCACTACTCGCACTGACCAATGGTTGAGGCCGGGAGATCTGAAGGTGACATTTTATC